AGTATTTTTTTGACAAGATCTTCATTAAAACTATGAGGAGTTAGTTTATTTTTATGTGCTATGTTTTGACAAATGTATATTAAAATTTATAGCAATTTCTCTGGTTAATTAAGTTTAAAGTAGCCCTCTTATGAAGAAATATGGTACTTGAAATCTAAAATTGTTTTGTGTGCTGAAAATTATTAATTAAAGGGCACAGTGGTGTAAAAAATTTACTAAATATGAATTTCTTTTAAATTTGAAATAAATAAATAAACAGTAATAAATTTCTTTTACCATTTCTTTTTTATAGGCGCCGGTGAATCTGGCAAATCGACGATAGTTAAACAAATGAAAATTATTCATGAATCCGGTTACTCACAGGAAGAATGTGAAGAATATCGTCGTGTCGTCTATAGCAATACAATACAATCCCTTATGGCAATTATACGTGCAATGGGTCATTTGAAAATTGATTTTGCTGATCCCTCAAAAACGGAAATAGCACGACAATTCTTTACATATGCCTCAGCGGCTGAAGAAGGCATACTCTTACCCGAATTAGTATTATTAATGAAGAAACTATGGTCTGATGCCGGTGTCCAACAGTCATTTTCACGTTCGCGAGAATATCAATTAAACGATTCGGCGGCCTATTATTTAAATTCATTGGATCGTATATCACAGCCGAACTATGTGCCAACACAGCAGGATGTGTTACGTACGCGCGTTAAAACGACCGGCATTGTTGAAACACATTTCAAATGCAAGGGTTTATACTTTAAGTAAGTGGTAAACAAATGAAATGTTAAGGAATTTATAATTAATTTTTTTATATATTTTTTTATTCCAGAATGTTTGATGTTGGCGGCCAACGATCAGAACGTAAAAAATGGATACATTGTTTTGAATGTGTCACTGCGATTATCTTTTGTGTAGCATTATCGGGTAAGTAGTGTGTCATACTATAACTCAAATGTTTTCTTTTAAGATTATGATGATGTGATTTATAGTTATTATTACAATTTTTTATATTTTATAATTCAGAGAAAATAAAAGGGTTTTTCTGCATGTTAATAATTAATTAATAAAATCAATTAGGCCATTTACTATCAACTATCTATGAATCATTTCTAATCTTGACTCCCAAAAGAGAGTCTAAAATCCATAGTTTTATTAATAATTATTTATTTTTATCAATTTTAGGCTACGATTTAGTTTTAGCTGAAGACGAAGAAATGAATCGTATGATTGAATCATTAAAACTTTTCGATTCCATTTGCAATTCGAAATGGTTTGTAGAAACCTCCATAATATTATTTTTAAACAAAAAGGATTTGTTTGAAGAAAAAATCAAAAGATCTCCCTTGACAATATGTTTTCCAGAATATACTGGTAAGTAATACTAAACTTAACAAACTAAAAATACAAGTTTTATGATTATTTTTAATCCTTTCCAACCAGGTTCCAATTCATTCGAAGATGCTGCCTGCTATATACGCATGAAATTCGAAAGTCTAAATAAGCGTAAGGATCAAAAAAGAGATTTTATACACATTTTACCTGTGCCACCGATACAAATAATGTACAATTTGTGTTTGATGCCGTCAGTGATGTCATAATTAAAAATAATCTTAAGAATGTGGTTTGTTCTAGATTCGTTGTTAATCGAAAGCAAATTAGAAGTTTATTTTTTATTACATTTAGGAGTACATAGTATATTTTCTTTTTTTTTTTACATTCATAAACGCATACAACATACAACTGAATTAACGCATATGCAATCATCATTCCGTAGATTTTTTTAAAAAATTACATGTGTTTTTTGTTTGTAAAACAATGCAATGCATTCGTAGCAGATCATTACACAGAGATTTCTTGCGAGAAACAAAAAAAAAAACAAACATTTCCATTTATAAAAATAAATTTAAACAAGAATACAACTGTTTTTAAGCGATTCCATTTTAATTTAATGAAACTATTAAATAAAATATTTATACATATTTTACTAATATCTAACAAGTAATAAAGCTGTGAAGAATTAAAATTTATAAAACCAAGAATTAAGCTGATCAACATTTTATAGATTCATGAAAAATATATTTTAGTTTTAGTTGTTGAACAAAAACTTGGACTCGTATCTTCTTTGTAATTTCACCTCCTCTCAGTTTAGTTTAAATTTCAGCTTATTTGTTTTAATTTGTTTAATGGCTTATTAATTATTATTTAAATTTCTCTATTCATTTTTATAAATACAAAAAAAAAACATGTAATTTGCTTTATAACTAATTTTGTTTTCGATTTTTTCCACTTTGGCTATATAAAAATATTTTATCCATGTATTTTATAAATATTTATCTTAATGTAACTGATATTTAATATATATATTTTTCGATTTCTCCTCTCAACTATAACTACTAGCATCTCTTCCTCCTCCCCTTTTTTATGTGTATTTAGCAATAATATTTTTATTTTTAATCTATAGTGTTTAAACAATAAAATAAATTTATTAAATTTAACGAATTTCTTTTAAGTTATAATTAATAAAATAAAATTTATAATTATAAAAAAAAAAAAAATAAAAAATATATATAATTTAACAATGAACTATATTCGAATTTAATTGAAATGAATTTAATTTTAGTAAAAACGTTGTCTTCATAATTTTATTTTTTTTTATATACATTTGGCTGTTTTTTGCAAACATTGAGAATATATTAATATTTTTTATTTGTGATTTAAAATTAATACCAACATCAAGCAGCTTGTTTATTTAAATTATCTTCTTTAAATTTTTAGCATTAAAATTTCCAAAATAATATATTTTTCAAACCTTCAATAAAAATCAAGCTTAAAAATGAACAAAACTGTGCTTTTCTCTTATATCGTAGGCGTTTGAAAATTGGAATTGAAAATGAATCATTAAAACTATTTCTTTTTATATTACATTATAAATCATTTATAGATTTTCTTTCATTCAAAACACTGAAAGTTTAATTTTGAAAAACTCAAAAAGTACCAACTGAAAAAGGAAAAAATTAAAAATCCCCTCTTATATATTTTCATTTATCCAGGACTGCATATTCAATTTCATGTTTCTGGGTTGCAAAATTATAAAAATCACCAGTTGAAGAACGAAAAAATACCAAAAAATTTTCTTTTTACCAGAGTCCTAACCCTAATTCCCCTATTTTTTTTTAATTTTATTAAAATTAGCTCAAGGAGTTTGAATAATGTTAATTTTTAAGTTTTTACCCACTTTTGATCCTTTTTTCGAACCTATTGTACAAGTTTATGTAAGCCTTACTTGGGTCCAAAGTTGACCCCTTTGTAAACATACTTGCAAGAAAAGAAAGAAATAGAGATGAAGCGACAGAAAGAGATAGAAGGTAACGACAGATATGTCATTGAATAGAGGCGTAGTATGAAGATTATATGCAGCCTAATGAGTATTTGAAGTTCATACCCATTTAGACAGATTCAAAAACGCTATAAGTCGTTTAAATTGAACATTGAAGTAGGTCGCCTTTCGAGCCATTTTCAGGGCTCGGAAATTACAGAGAAGATGGGCAACTATCTAATTTTCATCCTCATTTTGAGAAACTTCTGTAGTAAATGGTTACCAAATTTACAATGACCTGTAATGAGCGATTGCCTTGTAGTCTATGAATACCAAGGTAGATCTACATGGATCCATATGAAGCCACAACGCTTTAGCCTATCGAGCACGTATACTCACTTGACCAACGGTACTGAGCCTTAAAATAACAGATGTCTATAATCTGTTTTATTATAACAGGTAGTGGAACTCCACAGAACTGATCTATCACCAGTTTACTTAGCTTGGTTCCAACTCTTGCAAAAGTTTCGGCTATATTATTGCCATATGTAGTCCCTTGTCCTTTGATCAATATATGGGTATTGGTTGAATGTCTCGCCATCTCATTAAGAGACGTCCGGCATTCATGAACAAGTTTAAATGATGAAAACGCTGTTAATGTAACAACATTACTATTCCAAAAAAGTAACTCCACAGAAATAATCTATCACTAGTGCACTTAGCTTGGTTCCAATTTTGCTTTAATGTCGGGAGGTCTACAACCTATATTACCTGTAGCAATATTACTTTTATTTTTATTATTTTTTTGAATTTATCGTTGCTTTAAACTTAAGATAAGACATCTAAAATAAAAACAGAATATAAGCTGGATCCCAGCAAAAAAAGTGTGGAAAAAGATGTAGAATTTTCATCACAACTAGTAACCCGAAGTGCTTCAAATTCGGGTGTAAAACCTATGAATTTTACATTAGCGTGTCATTGGAGGGATGTTGTTCATTTTTGGCAGCTTTGGACTACATCTGATCTTATTTTTAGAAGCAGTAAAAATCCGATATTTGGATGTCAAAAATAAAACACATTCTCTTAATGACACGCTTATGTAAATTTCACTACTCTTTCACCAAATCTTGATGTACTTCAAATATGTTATTTGTAATGACTTTTCCACATCTCTTTCCTCACTTTTAACTGGGGTTTCATTTGTAAGGAAATATTTGGTTTATAAAAGTGAAAAATATGTAATCGCATTTTAAGATGTGATTAAGATGTAGTTTGTAAAGTATGACATCAATTATTTTTTGCTGGGATGTTATAAAAACATTAACCGAATCTATCAGTTTCAAAATAAAGGTGGAAATACACAACATGCGTTGAGGCGGCAACACGTTTTACGCTTTTCAAACTTTTCGCGCTTTACAAGCTGCAAGTTACACACCACGCGTCATTGATGCCTATAACGCGTTGCCGCGTACAACGCGTTTTGTGTCGGTTCACAAGAATAAGATTAAAAAACGGCTACAAATTAATGATGAATTCATGTTATTTAAATTTTATTAAAATTAATTTTTTACATTTTAGCGCACTACAAAAACAAACAAAAATTAAAGTAATATAAAAATTTAAAAGAAAAATGCCGTTAAATAATAATAAATTTATTTCGATTTAATCTCCTTACGAGCATCGTCCATACGCTTGAGTAGTAAATTCCAATAATGTTGAACTGTAGAATTATTGAAAACATATTTCTCCACGAGTTTGTGAGACAAACAAAAAACGTAATAAGCAAAATCCCATAAATACACCAAAGACTTGAAGAAAAAACTTTCAACTTGATCTTTGCTAGGTAGTTTAACTCCAGTATCACCTAAAGAAGCTGTAGAACATTTTTCCGCATTAGTTTTATTATCTGCAGCAGAAGTTGAGGCGGAGGAGGGTGAAGATGATTTTGTGACTGGGGTGGAGGGAGATGGTTTTGATGATGATTTGTCAGTAGCTGAAACAGCAGACGGCTTTGAGATGGATGAGTTATTAGAGGTAGGGTCTTTTTCGGTTAGAGGGGAAGTTGAGGAGTTTGATGATTCTAAAATATTGGGAGCCGAAGATGTGTTGAAATGACGATATGTTAGAAATAAACATGAAGATGAAAATGCAACTAAAATATGTTACTCAGTAAATTTTGATAGACAAACAAGTGGTTCAAAATAAATGTGCTAATACATTACCTCCGGGTTTTGTGTCTTTTGAGTAGGCGACAGCCAATGGTCTGGTATACCAAGTGGTGGTAGTTGCTTCTAATATTGGAATAGTTCTAACATTTGAAGACCAAACACAAAGAGCTGGATGTGTATACCTGGTAGCAGCTATACGCAAACTTCTGGCAGCCAACATTTTAAATTCCTTGTAAAATTACCAATTGATTTGATATAAAATTTATTTTTGTTTTCGTTTGACAGCGTCTTACTTTTTAATGAGATCACTTTGTTGCTATTGATTTATACAAAAAAAAAACATAAAGAACTTTTTTTGGCGAATAACTTTTTAAAAGCTTTTTTCTAGTATATTATATTGCAAAAAGCAACAAGCTTATTTTTGCAAATATTTAAAGCTTTTTTTCTATGCAGCAAATTTGATTTCAAACTGACATTTGACAAATTACTTTTCAGTTGGATGACTATTTTGAAATTAAAATCAAGGAGTGTTATGTTTTTTGTTTTAAAAAGAAATTTCAAAATTTAACGAAAGTTTTTTAAGTTTAAACTCTTGAATATTTGGCTAAGAGCAATGAAAATTGTTTATGATTTTATTTTAAAAATTTCACTTAAAACTAATAATTTACATAAAGAATTTTTAATTATTTTATAATTTTTAAAATTTTCTCATTATATTTACACTATTGTTTGCTCTGTGCTTTTAGGCAAAAGCATAATTCTCCAAAAGTTTAGCCAAAAACTTTATAATTTTATGACGGGCTTCCACTAGTTGTGGTGGATCGGATTTAATCGGTTCGTACATGTTGGCACAGTGGGCCGTACCTAAAATTACAATTAGTTTAAGGTTTAGAACTTTTGAAATATAATTCGTTAATGTAAACTTTCACATACCCTCTATAAATATTGTTGGTGTTTTAGGATTTTTAGCATTTACCAAACCTAATGCATGCCAAGGATCAATAGAACCATGAACATACAAAACATTTGTGGTTGAAGGCTTTAAGCCACCATAGTACTTGTTGGTTTCTTCCACCACGGAATTTAAATACTTGGCATCCATGCTAAATATTAAAAAAAGTTAAAGTAAATTTATAGCAAATTTCCCAAACAAACCTACCTATCGGCATAAATATCCATGCACTGTTTAATGAAAAAGTCTACATTAAAACGATTGCCAAAAGTGGCTGAGCTATTCTCTGAAGTTTGATAAAAACCAAATTCATTGCAGGTCTGCCAAGTCCATTGGCGCATGCCCTTAGCCACCTCCGACTCCCAGGATACATTTTGCATATCCTTAATCATTTTATCGTATTTATAATCCAAACACTTTTCTTCGGATTGTTTTAAAAGCATATCATTAACAGCGGCCAAACGTGTAACGGGTGGACCCATGGTAGTATTTAGCATGACATCACATATCTGATCTATTGTAATCGTAGCATGGGGACTATTATCCTTATTGTATTGCACTACGCCAGCAAAATTTCCGGCTACATTTTCAAAGAAATTGGAAATGTCTAAACTATTTTCAATGGAATCCTTAATGGGGGTGCAGGTTCTAAATTATTTTCCACGATTAGTTATAATCTTAATAAATATTTTTTAGCAACCTACTTGAATTTTTCATCTAAATTACGTTGACCAATCATGTGTCGCATAAGAATTTCCACTTGTGCAAAACCTTTACTTACAACATCCACACATTCGGGCTTATAACTTTTCAAGGAATCTCTGACCACATCAAAATATTCTATAAATAATTTAAGTTAAAATCGTTATTTGAGTTTTAGTAACCGTATTTTACCGGTAAAATCAACTTTAGCCAATAGTGGTCCACTTGAACTTATAGATCCGTAAATTAAATCGGGATATTTTTCTCTAGCCCATGCAGCTAATGAGCCTGGATAAGAACCACCAAATGCAATCCATTTTTGGGTTGGTGCCAAGTTATATTGTTGTTTCATGGCCAAAATAAATGATGCCAAATCAGCTAAAGCTTGTTTTGAAGTTAAATATTGCAAGTTGGAGGTAGATAAATCACTGAAAAGAAAGTAAATGCTTTCTAAATAAAGTTTCGAATCAAAAATATTCTTTTATAACATTTCGAACAGTAATTTGATTGCAAGTTATACAAGAGTAGAAAACACCAAACAATTACATTTCTGTACTTTAAAGTGGGCGTATTGAAATCGATAACAAAAATCTTTCAATGTTGATGCTAGGATGGGACATTAGAAAGTTTTATTTTCCTTTATTCTCACTTACCTTGTTGGTCTCGATTTGCCGTAGAAACGATGTTCCAGCTGAAAACATAAAGCACCAAAATGTTCAGCATAATGTATCCAGGCACCTTCATGCATCCACTTTTTGGCAGCTTCTGCTTCTCCACCAATCATTATGAAAATAGGTGCAGTCGTATCATTACGATAGTATTGTTCATTGACAAAATAACGTTGCTTCCAGGTGGCCGCGTTTTTATCGTTAAAATGATCCAAACGTTGTTCGAACCATAAATCAGCAACTTCATGGGTACTTTGTAAAGTAGGAATTTTACTGGGTTCACCAAGGAAACCATGCCAAGAACGACCCAAATGATAGTTTTTGTTTAGAGCAGCTACGCCATTCTTATCAGTTTGCAAAAAAACAAACAAGACCAAAACAACAAGACAAAGCTTACGAAGCCAGTTCATAAGATAATGCTGATGATGAGCGGCTGAGACACTCATATTGTTATTGTTGATTGTGAGTGTGGCTGTGTTTGTTTATGAAAATCTGTTCAGGTCAAGCTATAAAAGTGATTTGAGGCTGAAAATTGTTATTTAAATTATATCAATAGTTTAATAATAAATACATAAATACATTAATTGGATTATCATTTCCAATTTTCATTATTAAACTATTTCATTGAACTTGCATTATTTCGAAAATCCCTGTACCTAAAGATAATTCCAATTGCTTGTACTTACATGCTTTTGTTTAAAATCAATTTATATTATTTTTGTTATATACAAAAAAATATTTACACAAGAAATTTTTGCAAATTTTATTTATGTATAATTAAGCAAAGACACCACCAACAAGCACAACCGTCCACTTAAAACGATGATTAACGAATAGATTGCCTGTTTCAGCTGCTGTTGTTATTGTTATTAGCGGTAGATTAAAGCTCCACTAGCGAATAAAAACAAAATAAATGCATTTATTTACCGTAACATAGTCGATTACTTGCCGGCGAGTGAAAAAGATGGATTATATTTTAGTTAACATAAACATGCAGACATTGAACAGCATTAAATAATGTTATTAACAGTATTCATATGTATGAACCAGGAATGGAAAATATTGTAGATTTAATAAGGTTATAATAAACCGATTTTGGAACAGTGGGATGCAATGCAAATTGTCTATGGATGTAGCACGAATCTGCTCAAACATTTATAAAGAGTTTTAGGAATCTTAAATTTTTCTTAACAGGAAACCTTCTAATTTTTAGCTATTTCAAACTGTTTTGAAGAAGTTTGAGTAATCTGAAAGTTTACGGCATTTCATGCTGTTCTAAAGAAACCTTTAAGAGCCAATCTTTAGGTGAAAGATTAGCGATTAAATTAAAATTAATCCTCGAAAGATGTTTTTGAGTACTCAATTAGTTAATTTTGTTTGCAAGTTTAAGCGCCTAATGGAGGTGGTTTAATCTTAAGCACGAAATGCAAAAGTGTAAACAGCTGATGCAAAAAAATTAATAAAATTTTTATAAATATAAACATTAAAATGTTCTATTTATTGATTAGTATAAATTATGGACACTTCAAAATACATTTTTTTTGTTTTAATTTAAGTTTTCATTAATTTTCATATTAAATTTACAATTGTCTTCTTCTTTTTTATAAAATATGCATTGTTTTGATTTTTCTGTTGTTTTGTATGGCAACACTGCGAAGCATAGAAAAGGTATACATAGAACTGAAACTGAGTATAACAAAACCTAAGTCTGCTGTCAAAAACCTAAGTCGTGAGAATGTATTAGTTGAAAAATATGTAACCCAACAAACACAAACTCTTTCGTTTAAAAAGTTTTTATATTTTTGTTTGATATTATATTTCGATATTTTATGAAATAATGGTTTGAATTAGCCATTTTTATTCAATATCAGTTGACCAATGTAAGAAAGATCTTCATTAAAAATTATTTTTAATTTTAAATAAACTCTTTGTGGTTGCTGGGTTGAGTCGATATTGACACTTGAAAATAATATTAAAAAATAAAAACGATTGAAAAATTTGTTTTTTTTTTTCTGAAAATGTTTTCAATAATTTTATGGGAAAACATAACTTTTAGCAGTGTTTATTGCAGCAGCAGGGGCTATTTTGCCAAAGGAATTGTGCTAATGCTAAAATTAACGCTTGATATGAACGATTATTGTTAATTTCAAAGCAGCCCAAATGCAGTCAAAATACACCCTACACCACACTAATGGGAACGGTATTTTGTTTACGTCTTAAAGTTTGTAACACCTGCGTCGATGTAATGATGTAATCCGCCCATAAATTAGCCTATTGAACTTTTTTGTAAGCGGTACATGCTATACAAGAATAGAGTATTTATAAAATTCGACTCAACAAATTTTATATATACGAAATTTTGACTATATATTGTTATAATGAGTAGTACATTCATTAATTAAGCAAACATCAATCTCTTGAATATAACTTCTACATTAAAAAATACTAAATAACTTATTGCTACTTACTCGCAATGTGGTAGGGTATGGTGTATTCGGATACATTTTGTACTTTCATATTTTTGTTATTTTATGTAAACAAAAATAAAAATACTCATACAATTGTATTAAATTCACACAGAACCTGTACATGTGAGAGAGTAATATTTCTTATTCTCAGTTTCAGTTCTATTTATTTTTCTATGCTGCGAAGTTTAATCTTGTACTCAAAAACATCAAATGGTATTAACATTGGATTAAATTTATTTTTAGATTAACTAATCTAATTATTAATTGTCATTTGATTGCCAACTCAAAAACCCGGTCTAAGAAGTATCTGTCTCTTTTAAGAAAGGCCGAAGAAGATGGAACTGTTCTAAAGATTTTCTTGTAACTATGATAAAAAGAAACATTTTTAACAGTACCTCAGATGTTTACGAATCTTAAATTGTTCTAAAGCAGCTTAAGGTGTCACATTCTGTTGGTAAGAAATTTAAGGAACCTCATACTGTTCGAAAAAAAGATTTGGAGAACTTTAAACAGTTCTTAAGAAGATACGGGAACTTTAATTTATTCCCAAGAAGTCCGAAGAGTTGTTTTAAAGAAGATTTAAATGGTTGAGGAACCACAAACTGTTTAAAGAAGTTTCAAGATCCCAAAACTGTTCTAAATTAGTTTGAAGAACCTCAAACTGTTCTAAATAAGTTTGAGGAACCACGGACTGTTTTAAAGGAGTTTGAGAAACACAAAGTGTTCTAAAGAAGTTTGAGAAACTTCAAACTATTCTAATGAAGTTTGAGGAACCTGAAACTGTTCTAATGAAGTTTTAAGAAGCCTAAAACTATTCTAAAGAAGTTTGTAGAACCTCAAACTGTTCTAAAAAAGTTTGTAGAACCTCAAACTGTTCTAAAAAAGTTTGAAGAACCTCAAACTATTCTAAAAAAGTTTTGAGGAACCTCAAACTGTTCAAAAAAAGTTTAAGGAACCTCAAACTGTTCTAAAGAAGTTTTGAGGAACCTCAAAACGTTCTAAAGAAGTTTTAAGGAACCTCAAAGTGTTCTAAAGTAGTTTTAAGTAACCTCAAAGTGTTCTAAAGAAGTTTTGAGGAAGCTCAAACTGATCTAAAGAAGTTTGAGGAGCCTTTTTCATTTTTTTTCAAACATTTCTATATAAACTCTCCCAAAAAAGAAATTAGTAAACCTTGAACTCTTCTAATAAAGTTGGAGGAGTCTCCAACTGAATTACATACACCCATATGTACATATATTTAACCCTAAATTATTAAAAATTTTTAAATACAGCAATTGTTTTAAATAAAATTTTAAAATGTTTCCTCCACTGTTTCCCAACTGATAAAAATGTTTTTAAATTCACTTGATTCATCGTTCAAATACGAAATGTTATCAAAGAAAATTTCAAAATAGTTGATAGAAAATTTTCTTTCAACAAACATAATTTCAAAATTATTTTTCATAAAAATTTAATAAAAAATCCAAAAAAAAAAATGTTTTCCAAATTTGCAGTTCTATCAAAAATTTTCAGATATTCTCTATTTAAACATAATGGGTTGCGGCGAATTTTAAGATGCGAATGTGGAAGTATTATGACCAGACAAAGATGTTTTTCGAAAGATTCTCAAAATAAGTCATTAAAACTTCAAGATAGTAGAAATGTTAAATCGTTGCATTTCAATAAAGAAGTCCAATTTAATATTTCCCGAAATATTATGAGCTCAAACAGCAAAGATGGTGACGGAACGCAAATACAAAATGCAGCTAAAGTAAAAAAATTAATAGAAAAACGTAAGAAGAAAATTCTACGAAGAAGATCTAAAGTGAAAATTCTAAAAGCTTCCCAAATGAAATGTAAACGTTGTAAGTCCAATAAACTAACTGATGATCCAAAAACTGAAAACTTTATAAATAAAACTGTTCTGCAAACAACGGATTTGTCGATTAAGAAAGGTAAGTTTAAAGAAAATTTATATAAATATGCATATTTTTATTGTTATTTTATAGGTTCTTCAAAAATGGAAATTCCAGAATTAAACAATAATCCAGGTATTTCACAATCTCACATGCCACCCAAAAAAGGTAAGAATTTTGTTGAATTTATTTACCATTTAAAAACCTAAAAATTAGTTTTTTTAACTTTTAAGTTGTTTATAAACTATATATAGTTCAAGAAGTTCAAGAAGTAATGTTAACACCACCACTGGTTTATAATTATAAAATGGTTCTGTTAGCATTCGTCTTAGTAATATTTATTTCTGAGCAAATTATAATAAATTTTGATGATATTTTTTTAACAAACAGTTCATGTCGAATTTATGGAATCCCAAAACTTAAAAGATTTTAATCTTAACAAGACTCCAACTTTAGAACTCAATAGAAATAATTCTAAACAGAACGTAATCGAAATTAAAATCAAACCAATTAATTTAAGTGGTAAGTTTGTAAATACCTGAAATTTGGATTGGATTAAAAATGTATTATTGTTAGACCGAAAGCCTTCAAATGTAAAGTCGATAGAGTTGAATATTAAAAATACTATACACAATTTGGAAACTCAACATTTAACGAAATCAAATTATGATTATCAAAATAAAAAGATGTTAAAAAGTGGAGACAATAATTCAGTAAAAGGTGAGTCCAAATCTACTTAAAATTAATAAAACAAGTAACAGTTATATCTGGTGACTTGAGAATTTATTTTCAAGAATCTTAGGAATAGAGAGACGGATATCGCTAAATCAATAGTATATAGTCTAGTCTATATTGTAGTCTTTAGTTTAGTGCATAGTCTAGTATACTATTCGAAATAATAAGATAGAATAATATAAAACTTGAATCCTAAAGATATCTGGGGACTTCAGAAACATTTTTTCAAGACATCGCTAAATCAACTTTGCTATATATAATGGTTCAGAATACATAATTTATAGGGTCGGAAAATTATGTTCTACTTCGGTACTAGTTGTAGAATTTCTTTTAAGAACAGTTTTTAAAATAGTTTCAATATTAACTTGAACTTCAGAATTTTATTTCAAATATATTATACATATTTAAAAATTCTAGTTCCAATAGCTGAGGACCCCATCATGGCAAATGAAAATTCTCTTAAGTCTAAAAAAAATTCCTTGCATAAAGCAGTTTCTAACGATATTTCAAAACAAAATAATAGTACAGTTACCAAGAAAAGTGAAAACATAAGAATATTATACCAGGCCCATCCGAAAAGAAAAACCAAAGTAAGGATTCCAAAACTCATGAAATCAGAAAAAACTACAAGGACAAAACCTTACGAAGAAGGTTTGTTACAGTTACACTTAAATTTTATTAAAAAAATTTATTTAATTGATATAATTTTTCAGATAAAACGAAAAAAGTTGCATTAGCAAACCAACCATCTAATGTCCCTTCACAACGTAAGGGAATCTTATTTCCCACCGAACCAGGTGGTAAGTTTTTAATTATGTTGTTTTGTATTGAGGACTTTTTAAATCTTAACTGGTATATATGTATTTCAGAATTTCTAAACTTTAAAATACAATCGAAGAATTTAACCACGGATATTAAACCTTTCGTAACAACCGAAAAGGGTATTCTATATCCAACAGAAAAGTGTGGTAAGTTTTAAAAAATTCTGAATTTCATCAAAATTCAACAACTAATATAAAGTTTAGTTATTTGTTCATGTTATATACCTCAAAATACTATAAAATACTTAAATTATTAGATATTTCATCAGTGTTTTACAAAATTTGAAAAAATAAGCATTTTTTTTTTATATAATTACTTTATTAACTCTCTATAGAAATAAAGAAATTCTCCACGTCGAGTAATGAGACACTGCCAAATATTAGTAAGTTCTTTGAATGTTTTAAAATTAAGATTTATTTATGTTCAAAATTGTAACTTCTAGTAACTGATCCTTTTGAAGATTCAATTAACGTATGTAGTATAGTCTTTATACCCTAGTTTATAGTCAAGTCTATAGTCTAGTCTATAGTCTAGTCTATAGTCTAGTCTATAGTCTAGTCTATAGTCTAGTCTATAGTCTAGTCTATAGTCTAGTCTAGTCTAGTCTATAGTCTAGTCTATAGTCTAGTCTATAGTCTAGTCTATAGTCTAGTCTATAGTCTAGTCTAGTCTAGTCTAGTCTATAGTCTAGTCTATAGTCTAGTCTATAGTCTAGTCTATAGTCTAGTCTATAGTCTAGTCTATAGTCTAGTCTATAGTCTAGTCTATAGTCTAGTCTATAGTCTAGTCTATAGTCTAGTCTATAGTCTAGTCTATAGTCTAGTCTATAGTCTAGTCTATAGTCTAGTCTATAGTCTAGTCTATAGTCTAGTCTATAGTCTAGTCTATAGTCTAGTCTATAGTCTAGTCTATAGTCTAGTCTATAGTCTAGTCTATAGTCTAGTCTATAGTCTAGTCTATAGTCTAGTCTATAGTCTAGTCTATAGTCTAGTCTATAGTCTAGTCTATAGTCTAGTCTAGTCTATAGTCTAGTCTAGTCTATAGTCTAGTCTAGTCTATAGTCTAGTCTAGTCTAGTCTAGTCTAGTCTAGTCTATAGTCTAGTCTAGTCTATAGTCTAGTCTAGTCTATAGTCTATAGTCTAGTCTAGTCTATAGTCTAGTCTAGTCTAGTCTATAGTCTAGTCTATAGTCTAGTCTATAGTCTAGTCTATAGTCTAGTCTATAGTCTAGTCTATAGTCTAGTCTATAGTCTAGTCTATAGTCTAGTCTATAGTCTAGTCTATAGTCTAGTCTATAGTCTAGTCTATAGTCTAGTCTATAGTCTAGTCTATAGTCTAGTCTATAGTCTAGTCTATAGTCTAGTCTATAGTCTAGTCTATAGTCTAGTCTATAGTCTAGTCTATAGTCTAGTCTATAGTCTAGTCTATAGTCTAGTCTATAGTCTAGTCTATAGTCTAGTCTATAGTCTAGTCTATAGTCGAGTCTATAGTCGAGTCTATAATCTAGTCTATAGTCGAGTCTATAGTCTAGTCTATAGTCTAGTCTATAGTCTAGTCTATAGTCTAGTCTATAGTCTAGTCTATAGTCTAGTCTATAGTCTAGTCTATAGTCTAGTCTATAGTCTAGTCTATAGTCTAGTCTATAGTCGAGTCTATAGTCTAGTCTATAGTCTAGTCTATAGTCTAGTCTATAGTCTAGTCTATAGTCTAGTCTATAGTCTAGTCTATAGTCTAGTCTATAGTCTAGTCTATAGTCTAGTCTATAGTCTAGTCTATAGTCTAGTCTATAGTCTAGTCTATAGTCTAGTCTATAGTCTAGTCTACAGTCTAGTCTATAGTCAAGTCTATAGTCTAGTCTATAGTCTAGTCTATAGTCTAGTCTATAGTCTAGTCTATAGTCTAGTCTATAGTCTAGTCTATAGTCTAGTCTATAGTCTAGTCTATAGTCTAGTCTATAGTCTAGTCTATAGTCTAGTCTATAGTCTAGTCTATAGTCTAGTCTATAGTCTAGTCTATAGTCTAGTCTATAGTCTAGTCTATAGTCTAGTCTATAGTCTAGTCTATAGTCTAGTCTATAGTCTAGTCTATAGTCTAGTCTATAGTCTAGTCTAGTCTATAGTCTAGTCTAGTCTATAGTCTAGTCTATAGTCTAGTCTAGTCTATAGTCTAGTCTATAGTCTAGTCTATAGTCTAGTCTATAGTCTAGTCTATAGTCTAGTCTATAGTCTAGTCTATAGTCTAGTCTAGTCTATAGTCTAGTCTAGTCATAGTCTAGTCTATAGTCTAGTCTAGTCTATAGTCTAGTCTATAGTCTAGTCTATAGTCTAGTCTATAGTCTTATAGTCTAGTCTTAGTCTAGTCTATAGTCTAGTCTATAGTCTAGTCTATAGTCTCGTCTATAGTCTAGTCTTAGTTGTCTATAGTCTAGTCTATAGTCTAGTCTATCGTCTAGTCTTAGTCTAGTCTATAGTCTAGTCTATAGTCTAGTCTATAGTCTAGTCTATAGTCTAGTCTATAGTCTCGTCTATAGTCTAGTCTATAGTCTAGTCTATAGTCTAGTCTATAGTCTAGTCTATAGTCTAGTCTATAGTCTAGTCTATAGTCTAGTCTATAGTCTAGTCTATAGTCTAGTATAGTCTATAGTCTAGTCTATAGTCTAGTCTATAGTCTAGTCTATAGTCTATTAGTCTAGTCTATAGTCTAGTCTATAGTCTAGTCTATAGTCTAGTCTAGTCTATAGTCTAGGTCTATAGTCTAGTCTATAGTCTAGTCTATAGTCTAGTCTATAGTCTAGTCTATAGTCTAGTCTATAGTCTAGTCTATAGTCTAGTCTATAGTCTAGTCTATAGTCTAGTCTATAGTCTAGTCTATAGTCTAGTCTAGTCTATAGTCTAGTCTATAGTCTAGTCTATAGTCTAGTCTATAGTCTAGTCTATAGTCTAGTCTATGTATGTAATATGTATTTAAAATGTAAAAATTAAAAAAATTCTCGCGAATAGCGAAATAAATGTTTTTTTTTCTCTCCTGAAAACTTGTGTTGAGTAAGCTAGAAAGTTTTGAATGTATATAAGTCCCTCGATATATTAAATTTAACATTTCTTTATTTTTTAGATACAAATTTATTAAAAATTTCAACAACAAAGAAAGATTTACATAGTGCGCAAACTGAAAATAAGGCCGTAATACCAGAAGGTGTTTAATTTAAGATTTGTACTACTATCCATTTAAATAATTTTGAATTTATTTACAGATAATCCTGCTCCCAAATTAGCAGAAAACAATCAACAATTAAATTATAGCAAATCTACTTCAAGCTCAAAAATGTCTACTGAAGGTTAGATTTAATGAAAAAATGTGTAATTATTTTTATATTTGAAAATTTTACCTTTCAACAGGGAACTCAAAAGGTGACTCCTCAAGTAATTTTCTAAAATCCGCAACTAATCCTAAACTTGAAACTGTAAAACATCCGATTAATAACCCAGTAGCAGATTCTTCCGGATCTAATATTAAAGACATTTTAGCTTTTCAAGCAAATGAAGAGTCGAAAAGTTCTTTTAAGAAGGGTAATAATTATAACTTATTTTGTAATGTTTTTAGTTAAATATAAAAATTCCCCTTTATCACAATAATTTAGCTACTTCTGTTAATAATTCGTTAAACGAATTAAAAATATATCGCGATAAATTAAAAAATGAAGATACAAATCTTATAGCAGCCAATACAGTTCCTCAAAGCGCTCGAACAGCACCAAAAACAGTGACTAAGGAGAGTTTAGGTTAGTAATATACATACATATAATAACAATCAAATTTCAACGAATATATCTTGTAAACCAGATAAGAAAATTGTAGACTTAAAAAGGCCAAATTTGTACTAATAATTTGGTGAAAATTTTGTTTAATAAAAGAAACTATATTTTTAGCAACTATAAAAACGAACAAGTTAACCAAATCGAAAAGGTCTAGTAGAGGTGGTAACCGTGGCGGTAATCAGAGTGGCGGTAGGGGTCATAAAACTACAATAAATAAAGAAGCAACAACAACTTTTAAAGGTAATATGATATTTTGAATTGGAAATCTTCTATTATCCCTTCTACAAATATATAAAAAAGTTATATATTGCAAATATCTCTTCATACAGAACGTCCATCTCGATTCTGGCGCACTATATCGTTTACCATACTGCCACTAATTCTCGGGTTAACAGTATACACAATGAGTAATATAGGAGCGGCTGAAATGTTTAAACGCTTGCGTAATACAAGATCCAGTGAAGATCCATTATCGTGGAAAATGTTGCCAACTTTTTATGGTAAAAAATCAAATGATGATCTAACTGAATTAAATGATATCGAGTCAGAAGAACAGGATGATGAGAAACCTTTAAATGAAAGTAAAAATGAAAACGAACAATTGGAAACATATTTTAAAGATCCAAGATTAAATGAGGCATAAATGATTCATATAAATTCATTCCAAAGTTCACAGATAAAATAAACCGTTTCGATACAAATAAGATCACAGTGGGTTTATTTTTATTTCATAATTTTTTTTTCATTTCGAAATTTGTGTCAAATTTTTTTAATAATTAATTTTCGATTGTTTGAGAACCGAAAACGATTTATATTTATTTTTATTGATATTCTTAATTTCGCGAGCAAAATTTTTAATTCGATGTTGAGATTAAAACCTTTTTTACAGCCCGTATTCCACAGAATACGTTATAATATTTATAAATTATATTCCAAAGCCGCTGAGCAACCGGAAGCAGCGCTAAGTTTAACGGATGCATTAGGAGCTCAAACAGAACAAACATCTAAATCTAGGACAAATGTTCATCTATCAAATGAGGGTAAAAAATCTATCGATATAGAAACGATAAAGCAAACAATTTCTACACCAACCGTTACTTCTAATCCATCAACATCAACGCAAAATGTTCAAGCAGCTATAGAGAGTCAAAAATCTGAAGAAATGTCAAATGCTGGGCTCAAAAAGCCAGGCGGTTGTAATAAAAAAGCTGCACCTAAGGGCAAAAAGGGTAAGAAATGTGGCCAACCTAAGCCAGTTCCCCCACAAGATCCTGGACCTCCTGGTGGATATTACATTCAAGATAAATGTGATATATACGATATACCCAAAACAAATGCCAAGAAATGGAGAACTATTTCATATGCCTTAGTTCCATTAGCCCTCGGATTATCCGCTTTTATTCTAGCTACCAAAGAGGAAGCTCCAGAACCTGAATATATTCCTTATGAATACATGTACAGACGAACTAAACGTTTTGCTTGGCGAGATGGTAAAACATCACTGTTTCATGGACCTAACAATTTAATACCTGAAGAGGAGGAAGAACGTTTAGACCGAGAAGCAGAAGAAAAACAAGCGCAACCTACACCCCCCAAAAAAGGAGAAAAAGCACCACCACCAGCCGAAAAAGAGGCACGATATAAAAAACATATCAATGAAGAGCAGGACAAAATTAAAAAACGTGAACAACATGCTCACGAGGAATTGGAAAGACGTAGAAAACGCCATGAAGAAGAACGAGCCAATCAGCCCATTGCTGAAACACAAAAATAGCAATCGCATTAAAAACGCTTTCAAATTTAAGTTAAAAAAAATCTTTAATTATAAAAAAATATATGTATGTATATTTTTATACGATTTACAAAATAATGTGAATAAAATTCAACATTTTCTCACATCTGTTACAAAATTACAATTCTCTTCCGGTTTCTTATTCATATTTACGGGTGGACACTCAATACAGTAGACATCATTCTTGGGTGTCTTAGCCACTAGACTATCTATATTTTCTTTCTGTTGACTTTGATGACTACGGGCACTGCTCGGTATTCGGGGTTCTGACTTAACCGATTTTACTTCAGCAGTGTTGCTAAGATATGGTTGTGGCGGATTATTAGTACCCCAATATTCCTAGAAATTATAAATTTTTTTAAATTCGATTTTTATTATATGTAGTAATTTTCATTTACCTGTGGTACATTCCATATTATTATTGCACCATCAGTACAGCCGGTTACAAAGAATTTACGACATGGACTAAAGGCGGCACTTTTAACTGCCGATGCATGTTCAGAACCTTGAGCCACAACTATACCTTTATTATAATCCCAAAGCTGAAACGAAATTGTTTTGTTCAATGTTTTACACAGTATCCAATTTAATTTCAGAAGTTATTAATTATACCCATCACCTTCGTGAGAGGTATGTATGTATAAGTTCGAAATTCTGTTTGTAATTTCTACAATATAATTTTTCGACCGATAGCGGAAATGTTTTTAATCAGTTTTAGTGGGTTGTTCTAAAAATCTTCCATAAATAACAGAGAGCAAATTTCCGAAACAAATCATGAAAATATAAAATTTTTTCTCATTCCTGATTATTTTATTTCAGAACATTTAATCTCGTATTTTCTTTTATCCAGGAAGTAACATGGTTAAAAATTATTAGAATCGGTTCAAAATTTCATATGTTCTGTATATATAAAACTTATTCTGAAAAACTTTTCACGATCAGTAAATTATTTGCTTATTATTCAAGCTTTCAAATTTTATAAAATGTAATTTTCTGTAAATATTTAATGTGTTAATAAAAAACTATCTTGTGGATGAATATAGCAATTTAATACCCCGTTCTATAAAAGCAATTATTCGACATTTACTATCTTAGAACACTTCGAAAGTCTACAGAAACACTTTCGATAGCAATATTCCAAATAATTTTGAGGATTTACTCACCTTAACCTTTTGATCACTACCCACGGAAACAAAATAATCTCCAGTTCCATTAATAGCAACAAAATTTACTGACGATTTCGAGGAACCCTGTAATTCCCTTATCAAACCGCCATTATAAACACTCCAATAGCTAATGCGACCGTCAGTGCCACAAGTTAGAATCTGAACACCAGTTGGGAAATATTTAGCGGTCATAAATTGTGTATTAGCTGTAATAACCGTTTTGCGGGTCAAGCGACTAGAACGAGAATGAAAAAATCAATTTTAAAATATTACAAAATATTTTCATTTAAATATAAATTACTTAACATCCCAAATAACACAAGAACCATCGCTACTAGCCGATATAACTTCGGTATCTGATTTATTAAAGTCCAAAGAAGTTATGGGACCAGAATGATCTTTCAAAACACCCAATAAACTTTGGCGAAATGGTTCAATTTTCCAAACGCGTACTTGGCCCTCGATACCACCGGTAACTAAAACACGTCCATTCGAAGAAATGGCCAAGGCACTGCAACCTAAAAACGATTTCAGATTAAAATGGTGTAAAATATATACATATTTATTTTTTAATCATGTCTCATACCCTTATTATGAGCATTGGGTATGGCATATATAAGTCTTCCTCGTATGGGTGTAAAAGCCCTAATAACTCCATCATTCCAGGCTGATATAATACTACTACCATCATAGCTAAATTCGATGGCAGCACATTGAAAATTATACACCATTATGCGCAATAATTCCTGATAACGTTTAGTGGACCAAATGCGTATGGTCTCATAACCGGCAGTGGCAAAAACTGAAGATAAATTTCTAAAACACCATCAAAATTAATCAGATTAATCACATTTACATATATAGTTAATTTTGGACTCACTTGGGAAATGCTATATTATGTACAGCCTTTTTGTGAGATGTTTTTAAAAGTTTTAAAGTAAACATTTTAATATTGAGTAAATATATTTCATTTGATTCCGTGGCTATATAATACTCTATAGGATTGATTTCTACCAATGAGGTAATGGAACCATTTACTTTAGTTTTCTTTAACTGAAAACGAAAATAGATTTATAAAAAAATCTAATTTTAATATAAAAACTTACAGTCTTCAACATGGGCCACGTTGGATTAGGATAATTTTTAAATACATTATCTTTTATATCACGCCTTTCCTCAACTAGTTCGACAACACCATCTCCGGCTCCCATTAATAAAAGACCATCACCCACAATATGTACTACTCTCAGACCATTTATATAGCGATCACAATCTTTTCCATAAGGTTTACGAATGTTATGTGTTCCGTAGGCACCCATCATTGAGGCGAAATGTCCCGGTTTTACTACATTTATTGTATCATAACAATTTAGGGAAATTTTTACTACATCACCAGTTTGTGTACCAATATATGCGAAATCGTCGTTGCGATCCACACATACTGAAATATAAAGTCTCTGTTGTTTTCCCACATAGACATCGTGAACGTTCAACTTTTTCATCTCCCTATGGATACTCCAAACTCGTAAGTGACCTGAAAAAATATTTTTTGGAATCCCGAAATGTTTTAATTTGCAAAACTCTGATAATAAACCCCGTAATTCTAATCAGATCAAATTCAAAACTTAAATTAAATAAATGATATTAAAATCGGACCAACCGTTAGAACATTACAGAGATCTTTTCTTTTCAGAAATCCCTTAACTGTGCGATTGTTAAAACCAATTTTAAAAGAATTTTATTTACTTACGATCTCCAACAGACAAGAAATATAGGGGATTTTTAAATAATGCTCGTACAACTAAAGCATTGCCATTTATCGAACGAGCAGCAACTGATCTACAAATTGGAGAGCTAAACATAAAAATATTAACTTATCTATTTCTCATGTTATTAATCGAATTTTAGAAATATTGCTTACAGAGTTTCTACATCGAATACAATTATAGTGCCATCATCGCGTCCACCAGCAGAAATCATATATTTATCTTGAGCAGTAAAGCAAATAGATTGAACACGAACCTGAAAATTGTTTAAGAAAAAAAATATCGGAAACTTTTTGAAATAGTTTTTATAAGCTTTAGTTTTAGAGATATCTTCCACATTTTAAATCATTCCATATTATAACATCTTTTTTAAAGCATTGAATTTAAAATTGTCCATTTATACTAACCTTGTGTAAATCATGTCTGACTATTTCACGTCTTTCGGCAAAATCATATAAAATTACATAACCCGGAAACCCCATATGATTTATTTGACCAGAAGCCATATAACGACCACTATAAATTCAATAATAATAACCATATTTAAGTATTATTTTGTAAAATTTCAAGAACTCACCTTCTGCTTAAATCCAAACAGGATACATTATTCGTATGTCCTCCTACAAATTCTTGTTTATTCGTTTTCGTATTGCAAATACCGATTTTTGTGCCCAATGGAAAAATTATATGTTGGCCATCAGGATGCAAATGTAGACCAAATACAACTTTACCATTTATACCAAAAATGGCGCGAGGTTCTAAACGCTTAACAGACTCTTTAGATTCCAATATTTCAGTCATTTTTTTAAAAGTAAATTATTAAGAAAAATATAAGTATTCTGTATTTAGTCAGTCTTTAGATTTGTATTATAGAAATAGAAATGTTAGATTTTCGATTATTTTTTAGTTTTTTGAAAAAAGGGTTGCTAACGGTAACATCAAAATATAATTGTCAGAGTTTTCAAATAAATCACAAAGAGCAAGTTGTTTATCGTTACCATAGTTAGTAAACCAGGTGTTTAAAGAAAATTTATATTAAAAAAGCACAATATATATTTATAAATACGATCTTTAACCTCTTTTAAAGCAATTTTTATTAAAAACGGTAAACCGTGTTAACTCAATGATATTTTGAAAACTTTTTTAAAATTTATCAAAATCTTCCTTACTAATCAGGAATTGTTGCTATTAAAAATGCGAAAAATAGAGTCTCGATTTCGCCTAGCCCAATCATAAATAAGTTATTTGTATATATCTGGAATATGGCGAACATCAGGCCACATTTAACACTGGCCCATTGTCATTTAACGCATTATAAGCTCCGCTTCAGAAAATTACCTTAACTTTCGGAACTGGAAGTAAAATATCAATGTAGCGATAAACAAGTACCAAAACCACAATTGAACACTAGCCCCTGGCCTCTTATAAAAAATAATTTTATTGTCCAAAAATTATTCAAAAATTTAAGTGTTTGATGTACCTTTGTCATTAAAGTATTTTTTAAATGTTTATGTATAAATCAATCTCTATGAAAAGAAGTGTTTAAACATGTATATATTGTATTTTAAAAGGAAATATTTCGATTATCCGATAATTAGTAAAATTCTTATTTATCATAATTTAATTGTTTACTTATAAACAACATTGACTCCTAAAGAAACAAAATTTTATAACGAACATTTTAAATTGTTATTCTACTACAGACATGTACAAAAACAGTACGAAATTTAGTACATAAATAAGCAACTCTTCTTTAATAGGCATTGCCATTCACTGCTCTCTATATAAATGTCAAATAATTCTGCAAAGAGAATTCATTTATAAAAAAATTGTAAGCAAAAGTAGATGCACGGGTTCTTTTACTTCTTATTTTTTTGTTAAAATTTTGTTGTTGTGCATTTAATTTTTAATGTTTTGATGTGTGAAAAATAAAGTATAATTTAATTGAAATCACAAGTAAAACAACAATGTGTAAAAAAGTGCTGTAAAATATCAAAAGAAACGTGTTAAATCTGAAAATTTTCATTCAAACCGAGAAAAGAAAAATATTCTCATTGCAACAACACCCTCCTCCCTCTTTTTTTATTTTCTTTTGGTGCTTTGACAACAATAAAAAAACCGAAACAAAAAAGTTATATTAAACTTCCTGTTTTCTAAGCCTATTTAAGATAAGAAATTGGTTGATTCTTTGAAATTAAACAAAAAAACCACAGTAATAAACAATAAGATATGAGTGCTATGAAAGTGTGTTGCATAGGAGCGGGTTATGTTGGTGGACCCACATGTTCTGTAATGGCATTAAAATGTCCCGACATTACTGTGACGGTGGTAGACAAGAGTTCTGAACGTATTGCTCAATGGAATTCCGATAAATTGCCCATATATGAGGTGAGTTCTTTTCACTTGAAATTGTTTGTATTTTGTTTTGTAATTGTGTGTATATGTATAGATTATTTTATCTGGCCCAGCAATTAATCATTTCGTGTAGAGTAAATAAAAGAATAAAGAATTAAAAAGTTGTAGTAGCTTGATGATTATTTTTTCTTTTATGCAAATTTCACAAATTATCCAAAGGGAAGCCAACAACACCTGTGGCAAACCTGTTTATCATGATACCCTACTCTCTAATGTTTGTAATGCAGAGATAGTATTGGTCATACACTGGCTGAGATTTACCGACATTCAAATTCAATTTTGAAATAATTAAATGGAGTTTGCCTTATTCTAGTTCAGAATATCGCTAGGGAAAAAACTTCAGGTTAATACAGCTATTACTAAGATGAGTTTCGGAGCGGATTGTTGTGGTTCCATATGAACTCTTCATCCCAAAATGGCTAAAACTTGTAAAGCTCAAAAAATGAAAATGAATTTAATACTAATAGTACCTAATATCATTATGATCGGTCTATAACACATATTTTTAATTAAGGGAACAAAAGTATATAGGTATTTCTTTAGGATTGAGCAGCGCTATAACGGTTCAAATTTATGCAAAAATGGTTTGTTATACTTAGAACACAACATCTAGTAAACCTGTTGTGATGGTAAAATTTTCAGATTCAAGTAGCGCAACATAATCCTTTAGAAATGTATATACATACATATGTACATACTTTGGACCTATTACAAATTTTGTTGACCTTTGAATTAAATATTCTTATATACAATTCAGAAATCATATTATAAAATTTTTTATATCTCACAAGTAGCTCTGAAATAAGTTGAGTTTGTAGGGTATCATAATATTCGCTCTTACTTAATTTTGAGTTATTTTTGGTCTACCGTATTAATTAACAATAATCATGTTAAATTTTGTTTATGTTCGAGATTTTGTGCTTTCTGCGTTCATTGACATTGGATATCAAATCAAAATCGAATTGTTAGATATAAAGCAGACAATTACTTATACAATTTGCTAGATTTTTAATAAAAGCTAAAATAGTTTTCTAGTGAAATAAGATTAAAAAACTGATTTATAACTAACCTTCGTTTGCATCTTTACACTTCTTACGAGTACACGAAAATGTATGTACTATAATTCATTTATTGTTTATTTAACTCCATCCTAAAACCAAACGTACAAGTGCCTGTCAGTCAGTCAGTCTTTCTATCTTTTTTATATGTACGTAAGTATGTATGGATCTGTGTCTATCACTTTCAGACTCTTTAATGCTGTTGAGATTCGTTTATTTAAATTAAATTGTAGATTCCCAATTTTATTCGCTTTGCTATCAAACTAAAACATATAATAAAACTTATTAAACAACAAACATACAATTTTACGTGTGTACGCAAGGTCAATGAAATCTAAGAGGCCTTTTTTTTTGATTCTAAATGACACCTCAGTCATACATAATAATAATTGTGCTGAATTGCTTTGGACTTTTATTTGTCTGTTTGATTGTTTTAAGGCCACACTGGCAAACCTAAACTGAGTATGCGTGTTTTTTATGGTGGACGTGGGAATATTTATTCACACATACATACACCTCATAGTTGTTATTAATTTACGACTTTACTAACATTAATTAGTTTAAAAGTAATAAACAATAAAATCAAAGAAAGTTTTTAACTCCAATTTGTGTGTAAAGAATTTATAAAATCTAAAAATGTTTACAACTTTTTCAAACTCCTAATAAAAAAGCCACGTACATCAGTCATAAAAACTTATGTAATTTGAATTCTTTTTTTATTTATTGATTACAAACACGTATTGACTACTCAACCAATAACTTGACATGATTGTTTTGAAATTGATAGATATTTTGATCTTTATAGGAAAAATACGTTAAGAATTCTTAGAAATTTGATGTAGACAAAGTTTAAGCAAATGCTAAAGTGTCTACAAAGAAAGTATCTTTTTATAAATTTGAGAAGGAAAGACATTAATTAAAATCCGGAAAGATTAGAATTCTCAACATTCTATGACCGAAAAAGGTATCATGTAGTCCATCTTGGGGTATATCTTCCTGCCATTTAAGTCCAATACTCAGTATTCTTTGGACGTAGTAGATGATGTTTCTCTTGGTCACTAATTTATTAACATCTTGGCACATCATGTGGTTGTTGTAACAGTGGCTAATAGTTTTTTCCTTAAATTGTATAATTTGTGGAGAAGATGGGGCACATATTTGTTGATGTTGTGGAACAACAGTTGAGGAAACTGTACCAACCGGCTGTTAATTTTGAATGCCAGGGTAGTTGTTGATTCGGTAGCCATTAAAGGCTTCAGAAGTCGTCATTTGATGTAACGTTCATGTTCCTCTACATCTATACAGCTTTAGTTTCGTCCTTATTTCTTTGGTCAAATACGTAAAAAGGAACACCGAGGATTTGCAATGTAAACTCAGAGTTCATCACATCTATGTAGGGTTTGAGGCATCGAGCGCTTAAGTTTGAAAAAATTCCATTTTTGGCCCTCTTCGAGACTCCAAGTCAACTGTATTTATAAAACGTTGTATGCCATCTGAATATTCATTCTGTCAGCTTTAAAATAAAGCTTTAACATCTGACATATCGTCGTTTTTCGTCGACACATCTAATCCCAGATGTGATGGAATAAATCTAAGGTCAGATTCGGATTCAACGCGGCTCAATTCTATAAACTATAACTCATTGTTTCGAATTTTTTCAAATTTTATCGGCCTGTGTTATCCTTCGGTAGCTGGTAATAGAATAAAAATAATTCGAGTTTCTTCCCGATATCTGTCATCACTAGATAGCAATTAATGAATATACATGTGTAGTCCCTCGAAACATTAAAATGAATTCCTATTATTTAACCAATATTTTGCAATTTTAACCTTTTTATTTATTAGATACACATCTACACAGACTGAACTTATCTGCATTGTTTAACTCAGTCCTCAAGTCAACAGATAAAGTTAACTCTTCTTTTTAAACAAACTTAAACTGAAACTCTTTTCTGAAACAAATTTTTTTTATTAATTAGGACATCTCTGCAGTAAAAGTAGTGTCATATTTCAATTGAATGTTTTTTTTACATTACACTGCTTCTTTTTTATATCATTACTCTTTAATATTTAGTTCCATTTTCAATTCATTCAATACTTCTCATACACTGGTGTGGTGTATGCGTTGCACATTTTTTACTCTAAACTTTTTTCTTTTCGTTCAGCAATTTTTTTTGTTTTATCTTAATTGAAATATTTGCTTTAGTTAGTTACTCTTATCTATTGTCTAGTTTTTTGTTTTTATAATATTTTTATATTTTACTGTATTTCCTTTACAAATATCAAGTGACTGACGACGCATTTGATTTGTTTGTGTTTTTGGAAAGAAGTTTTTTTTAAACTCTAATCATTAACTATAATGAGGTTATATTTTGTTTAAATGATT